TAGCATTTTGAGACATTAAGCTAGCATTTTGAGACATTAAGCTAGCACTTTGAGACATTTAGCTAGAATTTTGAGTCATTTAGCTAGAATTTTGAGACATTTAGTTAGTCTTCTGACACTTTAGTACAATTTAGCATTTAGCCTCTGCTCTACCTTTTAACAGCTCAGTTTTGACTTTTCCAGCTAATTTCGGCAGCCATTCAGCTTCTGTAGCGTTTAATATTTTAAATGCGTTTGGGATTTCAGAGATTGATCAGATTTTTCAGGTAAATAAAAAAAAAGTCAACTTTAAGCTGAATCAGCTCCATGAACCAGAGAATAAAATCGGACAGAAACAGAAGAAAGTGGGTCTTTGGTGGGAGTGTGTGTGTGTGTGTGTGGGGGGGGGGGTGTTACCTTCTGGAGGCTGTTGGGGTTCAGCTGCGTCTTGTCGATTATTTTAATCGCCACCTGAAGAGAGAAGTATGATAGAATCTGAGCATGAAGAGGAAAACACGGCTAAAACCAAACGCCAGAGCTCAGAGACTTGGATCAAATCAGTTTTTACAGAAGGGGGGTGGGGGGGGTAAAGAAACGTGACCAAATCTTGACTGTTCTGTTTATCAATTCAGAACAACTCAAGCACCAGGTCGAAGGTCAGGAGGTTCAGAGCCTGATCAGAAGATCAGAAATGTTTGTTAGAACTGATAAGTTCTCCTCCTGCCTGATGTTTCTAAAAGCACACAGATGTTTTCAGCTCAGATAAGTTTTTAGTCCATTTATCTTCAGTTTATTTATTATGGTTTCAAGTTAAAACTGTAAAAACCGTCTCACCTCTCTGCCGGTGAGGATGTGCCGTGCCAGCTTGACTTTGGCGAAGTTGCCTTTGCCGATGGTCTTGAGCAGCCGGTAGTTTCCGACGTGGGGCTGCTGCGGCTCATCTGAGCCGCGGGTTCGCACGCCGGTGCGGGCGGAGCGCGTGCCGCTGAGCTCCTGGCGCCCGTTGCTGTGAGACGTGTGCTGCGGAGACAACAGACCCATTAGACCAGAAACGAATGGATCAAACAGGAAAAACAATGCATGTAGCGTTATGGCAAACGAACCGGTGTTTTCGGTAATGGGAGGCATCATTTCCGTTTTGAACAATAAATCGGTGACCTTTGCTTTACTGCAGCAATTAAAGAGCAGAAAACTCAACACTGCTGTTCTTAGAGGTGATTACAGGCCATCTGTGAACCATCAGAAGCGTCCTCTGATTACTACAGAACCACACAGACATGGGTTATTTGTTTGTTTGTTGTTTAATACAGTTAAATCAGTTTAAATCTACGTTCACATTTAGTGACCAGAGAAATCAAACAGCTGACTTTAAGCATCTTTCAGCCCCAGAGTCTCTGAAAGCTCCCACAGCAACAAGCTGTGTTTTATCTGACGTACACCAAATGCTCCAAATACAAGAAATAAATAGACTTTAAATAAATATGGACAAGGAAAAACAATGACCGTTGTGCTAACATTTAACCGACATGCTGAATAAATGTTCTGCCCCACACACACACACACACACACACACACACACACTTAGATATTGTTTTGTAAAAATCAACAAATGAATAAATGGGTTAATAAGTGGCTCCAGCTCGGTCAGATTTACAAATATCGAGATGAAATACGGCGTGGTAGTAGCTGAGAGTTGTGAGATCTGTGTTGAAGCTGCAGACGAAATGCATTCCTTGAATTAAAGCTACTTTCATTAGTCCCAGGATTGATGAGTAAAACTAAAGCCCGTGGACTGTCTGGACTCCTGTCCTGGGATCCAACTCAGGAGCAGATGTTTTTTAACAGATGTTTTTTACTTGGACGTAAGTTTTACGAGCTGTCCTGCCCACCGAGGGACGCCTGTCCCCTCAGAGGACGAGAGCTCTGCAGGACGTGTCTTTTCTTTAAAAAAGTGGCAGCAAAGATCAGAGTCGAACTGTAAGCAGGAGAAAAATATGTTTTAAAATGAAATACTGTCAACGTGTTAATTATTTACGTCTCTGGGAGCACGGGGACACAAACTCCTGGTGATTTCCTGATTCCTTTCCTTGTTTGTTTAAAGAGAAAGTTTAAAAATCCACAGAGTCGCCGCCCATCAGGCTGAAGTGAGAACTGCAGACAAACGCTGCGGTGCCTCTGACCCCAAAACTGTCTGAACGGTGAAGACCTAACTAAACATTTCCCACCTTCAGACCGAACCCCTGCAGCCGTTCTGTTGACGAGCTCGGCCTGTAACGGACCAGGTCCGATCGGTGGGCCGGGCCTCTTCACTTCGCCGACAGTAGAAGAACAGCTCACTGATCGGATCGTGACATTTTTCAGGGAATAAACAGCGATGCGTCCATGTGCTGTTGAACTGACGTGATGGAACAAAAGCACCGGGGGCGCGTTGGTCTGCTTTAATGGAAAGATGAGCTGGTCTGGATTAAAGTTAACGGGTCAGTCAATACCATCAGTCTGACACCGTCATAATTCTGGTCCAAACAGCTGAGCAGACTTGAGCAGAGAAATCACAGTTTAAACACGGTGCTTTGTTTTTATTTGTTGCAAAATGATTCAAAATGATCATTTTCACGACATGATTAAACTCAAAGTGAAGGTTTTGACACATTTGTCAATTTTGTCAGATTTCCTGTATTTTTTTGGTGCTAAAATGTAAAATAAATGTTTCTGCAGCGATGGGATAACATCAAACTGGACCGCAAACAACAACAACAAGGAACAAACCTTTAAAAACAGTATTTTTTTTATTAGTTCGTGGCTTTAATAGAAAATATTCAAGACTTCTTCTACATGAAATGTTTAAAGAGCCTGTGCTGTTTTTAGTAAAATGAAAAAACAACAGGCTGCCTCGTGACTGAAGGGTAACTGACCGAAAGAATACAATTAATGACTGCTCTGCAGCCACAGAAACATTTACCACATAAAGTAATATGTTATTAATGTTATCGTTCCAAAAATGTTTGCATGTTTATTACAAAATGTTGAGGGCACAGCCACTTGAAGACCTACAGGCAGAATTTAAAGCATCAAAAGGTTCGACTGAACTGAAACTATTTGTTTAAATTTGTCAATATTCCTCTTTAGTTTAAAGATATTTACTTATTTATTGGACTTTTATTTATCCACCACGTGATTTGACACTTTTGCTGGAAACAAAAAGCGGTTACATTAACAATCATGACAAACACATTTCTTTTTAAATCATTGTGATTATACTGATCCAAATACTTATTTATTCTATAGTCAAGCAGTGTGGGCCTGTGTCCTAACAACTAGAAACCCAAAGTGACAGAAACTAACACCCCCACCCGGTTTTACCCACCCTGCTGACAGGGACTGGGATGAAGTTGAAGACAAAACTTGTTGTTTATAAAAGCTAGACGAACAAACAACACCGTCTCAACGTTCAAAAAGCTCGACGAAATCTGAAAAATGTTGCAGATGCAAACATTAAAGTGAGCAGAAAGAACATCCGAAGCTTTTTTTGAAACCGTAAACCACAATAAGGTGCTTTGTCCCTCAGCCGAGCAGAACTTTAAGTCACCAGGAGTATTTTTACAGCGTTAGCAGCGCAGATAAAAATATCAGCTGGGATAAGGTCACTGTTAAACACTGCAGGAAGGGAAAACCGCCTGCGGGGAACACTGGGGTGCAGGTCAGATCCAATAATCCTGCAGAACACAGAAAGCCAGGTTCTGACGGCTTCCTGGGAGGACTAATAAAAACAAAAGGACACTTCCTAGTGAGACGTGTTTGGTTCGTGTCTGGGGTTTACTCACAAAGCTGCGGTGTCTCCTGGCTGCCTGAGAGCCCGTCATGATCCACCGATGGAGCCCACAGAGAGTCCCACAACACCAGATTTACCCCCCCAACCCTGAAGAGCACACACTGATCCCAGTCAAGCCCGCTGAAGGCAAACGCACCCGAGCCGGAAACCAAAATCACGGTCTCCTTTCAAAAATAAAAGGCTTTCACTCAAAACCAGGAACAGAAAGTCCCACTTTTCATTTTATGACCCTAATGCACCCCCATTAGCAGAAAAATAACAATAAATGTAAAATATCAAAATGAACAGCTTAATTCCTGCAGATCTGCTCAGGATAAAACAACTGAGCAAGCTGTGATTATTTAAATTTTAATTACTAACCATTAACAACAGCTAAAGATGAATCCCCCCATAGGATCGATAACATTTCTCCACATCTCATCAGCCTAGGCGGTCTGTCCAACAAGTAAAAATGGTTCCGTTATCTCCACCTGCTTTCCTGACGGGTCATGAGACCAGTCGGATCACATGCAGACGTTTGGTGTTTGCACTTCCACAGAAGTGGCGGCACAAGAAAGAGAATGATGAATGTGGGGCACAAAATACCACAGAGCTGAATTTAAACATGCAGCCGACGCTGATTTCAATAAGTGATCAAACATCTTCAAAATACAACAATAAATCTAAACCTTTTCTACTCTCTCTCTATTTCTATCCAGAACTATGGTGAAGATAAAGGGACGGGTGCAGGAAGTGCTGATGTGGATTTTGCACTGTACGGTGTCCAAAACAAACCTTAAGACAACATAAAATGACTTGAAACCTTGCAAAAACATAAAAATTGCTTCAATAAAACATGTAGGCAACTTGCTCTGCTAAAATATAACTTTAATTAATTATCTGGAAATGTATCTTATCTAATATATTTAGTTCTAACCATAAGATTTAAAAGGTGAAAATGTATTTTAGAAAAGAATAGTAGAAAAAAAACTTTACTGAGTGGATGCTGGTCAGGAAAAAAAGATCATAAAAATATTTTTAATATTAAAAAATGACCTAACTGTGTCAACTGAACAGTTCCAGTCCTTATAAAAAATTGTTAAAAATTCTCAAAATATTTATAATACACCACTTTAAGTTATAACTAGACACCTATCAAAAGAAAACATCCAGAACTTTTTAAGACTAAATAAGTCTAATCACTTATATTGGTTTTAATTTTGGTCATAATTTAAATTTTATTTCCAAAAAAGACAAAATAATATTATAATTAATAAAAATCCATAAATATAACCATATATTTTATATCTTCATCATTGTGTAATAATTTTATCAGCCATGCAGCAAACTGAAAATAAACTTTTTTTTTTTTTACTTTATTTGTTTAAATTGACATATGAAAAAACTTAACACCTTGGGTTTAATTTTGAAAATCCAGACCGGAAGCACACGTGATTGCATTAACTACACAGATTTCAGACTGTCAATAGAGGGTGGGACTAAAAGAAAAATAGGAAACTCGTATCTAGAAGCTGATTGGATGAAACGTTCAAGTGACAGCTGGGAAAGCCAATCACTACCCAGAAATGAACTCCCTGTTGCCTGCCAGAAGCAGCAGGTAAAGTCCTGTAGTTTTGTCCGTAGCTGGGCCTCAAAATGTTGAATGGAGTCACAATAAAGAAAAATATAAACATTATCTCTTGAGAATTCAACTACCAACTGAAAAAAAAAATCAAATACGGGCGTATTACCACGTTGTTTACAATTTAAACAAGTGAAAGCTCCATCATGCATGAACGTTAGCTGTCATACAAAAAAGCAACGAAACGCTTCAAGCTAGTATCGTTATTAAATGTTATTTCACAGCAACGACCAAACAAAAACTAAATGGCTGTTTCTACTCACACTCTCCGTCTGCTTCTCGTTGACTGTCGGTAAAGGAGTTTTTGTTGACATCTTTTATTCGGCCTCCCTTCAGCAGTCCTTGTTTTTACTGGGCCAGCCGGAAAAAAGTTATTTCTTGGCTTTGCAGCTGTGTGGGAAAAAACAGCCTGAGCATGGGTCGTGACACTCTCCGAACCAGACCGGACGTGTTGAGACAAACAGCTGAGATGATCCGAAACATGTAAAAACTCAGCAGAGTGTAAAAACACCGTTTTCAGTTTTTATGTGGCGCGTCCATGTCCTGTTTTTGACCTGAAAGGACGAAATTAAATCAGTGTCCGTTTGTCTGTGAGTCCGTGAAGGGGCCGCCGCTCGTCAAAAATCGCGACAGTTGTTTTTAGTTTTTTAATCTTTACTCCCAAAATGAATCCGTTTATCCTCAGTTGTTGATTTTTTTAGTGGGGTTCAAAAAGTCTAGGAGACACAGACACCCGGGCTCGATTGCTTCCATCTCCAGCGGCCCAAAGTGAAGCGGTTCTGGTCTGTTTTAGGTGGGACCAAAATGGCTCCTGAGCGGCGGGGCGGGATTAGGATGCGTTCATGGACCACCCACGTGCTCGGACATACGCAATGCATAATTTCTTTCCCATTTCAACTATTTTGTGCCGAATATCTCGAAAATCACAACTTATATTTGTAAAAAGCTTTAGAAAAATCCTAAAGAACATTAAATTTTAATGCAAATTAATTATTTTATATTTTTAGCAAATTACGTAGCATTTTATTGGATTAAAATCTTCTGTAGCACAAAAACTCACGTTTAATACAATTTGATTACAACTGGTGCTTTAACAAAAATATAATTTTCAGTAATTCTATGAACAGTATTCCGTATCCCTCTTGTCAAAACGTTATAACGGTTTTCAACACAATCATGTCCGACAGTCCTTGAAAGCGGCTTCCCAGACGGAAGAGGGGAGGAAATGTTCCAGTTCCACTAGAGTCCGGTCCAGCTGGACCAGCCACAACCATATACATGTATACGTATTCATGTCCATGTCCAGAACCCCATTTAACAAAAGAAACAGGGACCTGAATCAGTTTATTCTGATTTATACCTTAAACTGTTCTAAACAATTACCGTAGACAAAATGGAAATGGAGCTACAATAGTTGTGTATTTATAAAAATATATATTTTTTTTACATTTAATTATTTTAGAAAATGTATTGTTGGATAATCAAGAAAAACTTATTCCTATCTCATTTTCAAAAATTGAAAAAAATCACAAGTATTGTTCTAATTTCAGTACTCTTCAAAATGTCTGAACTATAATTTCTCAATTATAAAAAAATCACACTGAAGATTCACATGAGGTGGATAGCAAAACATTTTTATTCACTGGAAAATACAAGGACCTCAAAAAAAAAAAAAGAAAGAAAGAAAAGGGAAGAAAGTGCAGTCAAAAAGATCCAAAACAGCCATGATTAAAACCCCCAGAGCAAAGTCCCCTGAACACATCTCAACTAGAACAGAGCTACTGCGCAGCGAGGAAAGCAGTGGAATACGTCAGCCATGAAGCGGGAGGAGGAAGGGAAGTCAAAGAGGGGAAAAAGCCGTATTTGAGCATCATGAGTCAAAACCACAACACACGAGGAAAACAGCAGTGTCCACATCTGTCAGATGGCGTCGATGTCGATGTCCTCCTCTTCCTTCTCCGGCTTCACAGTCTCCACCTTGAGCTCGCGGGCGGAGGTCGAGTACACCACCTGAAGACAACAAACAGGCGTTACTGGCCGTTTAGCCTGCAGATCAAACATCCAGGATGTTTGTTTTCTTTCCAACAATCAATCTACAAAGAGTTGCACATAAAAACAAAACAACGGTCACGTGACTCCAGACAGCCGCCCAACATCAGTGGTTACATTTATGATAAAACCTTCGCCTGCAGGAAGTTCAAAGCAAAAACAGAAAACCCGAACCTCGACATTCTCATCGTCTTCCTCCTCCTCTTCCTCCTCGCTGCCCTCGCTCTCCTCCTCCGCCTCCTTCAGCCATTTGACAAAAGGAGCTGCTTTGGCGTGGATCTCCTTGGCGAGCTCCTTGGAGACGTACTTCTTAGAAACCTGACGGATCACAAGAAAAAAATGAGCACGTTGTGACTTATATTTTACCTACTTTGGCTTTTAGCTAATGTTTGGCTAGCTTTAGCCTTTGGCTGAGCTTCTGTAACACTCAGAACTCACCCTGTACTCCTCAGGTGTCAATTTCTAACCATTAGGATTTCTTAGATGAAAACCGATTAGATAAACCCTTCCTTCAGATTCTCCAGCAGCTCTCAGACACCTGAAGTGGCTGAAATAAACACGTAGCTACAGCCGAACACCCACCCTCTCTGCCCAGGCGAAGATGACGTCCTCCTCCAGCAGATCGGCGTCGTACATATCTTTCAGGATGATGGCGACGCGCGGCAGCAGCTGGACCTGATGGAGCTTCACCACGCACTCAAAACCTCCCAGCAGATACTTTTGGGCCTTTTTGTTGTTGTGGCAGAACTGTGGGAGCAGAGCAGTCATTTGGGGCGTGTTAAAGCGGATTATGCTCATGTTCTAGTTTTTAGCCTTTTACGCTTCGTTGCGGCTGTTCCGAGTTGCCATAGCAACGTACCCGCAGGAAGTGTCGTTTGTACTTCTTGAGCTGGTCGCGGATGTTCTCGTTGAAGAGGAGCTCGCTGAGGATGAGGGGTCCCATGGCTTTCACGTCCAGACGCTCGGCCTCCGCCAAGATCTCCTTGTCAGCCGCGTCGATGGTTCCGCTCTCCTTCTTGTGCTGATTTTAAAAACAAACCGGTTTTTAACGTTTAGTCGTTCATCGGGCTGAAGTCTGACCGCCAGCGCCTCACCTTCACGAAGCTGTAGAACAGGTTGACCCTCTCCTCCAGGGGTTTCTCCAGGTCGTCGCTCAGAGTCAGATTCTTGGCGTGGTCGCTGATCTCCTCCATCCGACGCCTCTGCGCCTCCTCCGTCGTCTCCTCTGCCCAGTCCTCGTCGTCGTCGTCTCTGTCCTTCAGTCCAGGAGGACAAACACAATCAGAGTCCAGACAGAACGAGCTTCAAACAAGTTTCAAGATTTTACTTTGGAGTCTGGGCTGCACTAAATCACAGGCCATGCCTTCATGATCTACATACTAATATTTATAGACATACAAATATATAATAAATAAATATAAATATAGAATAGATATATTTTAATGTATTTAGCAGGCGCTGTTACACAGATAGTGAGTCCCCCACCCCATTCAGAAGGAGAGAGACAGAAATTACCACAAAACTATAAAAGATGTGCTGCTAAAATTTAAATATTATAAATGTAAGCAATAAAAATAATTATCTGTTGGCGTTTTAAGAACTGGTCTGGGTCCAGGTAAGATCCATCTGGGTCTGGGTCACGGTGAACAGAAACGTACCACAGCTTCAGGAGCATCAACGCTGTCCTGGTTTCCAGCTTCGCCGCTTCCAGAACCGTTCTCCTTGTCCTTCTTGCGGTTCTTCTTCTCCTTCTCTTTCTTTGCGGATGCAGATCCGCTCTCGGTGCTCTCTGTGGTCGGAGAGGCAGACCTGTCATTTTGAAACTGAACCCAGGTACGACCGACATGATAGAAAAGAGAAGAACCTCACCGGGCGGGTTTTTGAGGATGAACGTGCACAGTTTGTGTCTGGTGTCGAGCATGCCGCGGTTTCCACAGGCCTTACAGGAAGTGCCGATAGTTTGCTTCTTGGGATTGACATGCTGCAAGGACAAATTAAAATAAATCAACTCTGTCCAGTTTTGGCCTAGCAGAGTCTGGAAACTTTGCTAGCTTCTTTATACGTTAACTCGTTAACAAATATCTTAATTTAGTTCAATAAAACAGCCTTTTGGTGATTTTCTGACCGTCTGTAATTGGTTCAAAGTTTACCAGGTCAGTTTCAGGGTTGTCACACTCGGTACACAGCACAAATTTTCTGATGAACCCATCAAGCATGTCCTGCAGCTTGTTCGCCTCGTGGGATCCGTTGACGATGTAACGATCGTTTTTGGCATCAAACTGGGTCTGAGCGCCGAGTTCACAACCGAAAAACTTGGTCGGGTCTGCGGAGGAGCAGAGTGAAGACAAATGATGCACAGGGTCGGATCAGAAACATGCAGACTGAAGGCCACAGGGTTTAAAACAGCTTTATCTAAATTAGGATTCTAAATGCCTGAACCACGAGATGATTTGGGTCAAGAGACGGAGCAGAAAGTTTCTGATCATGTGTCTGTCAGCAAAATATTTTTTTTCATTTACCCTTTATTTTTTATCCAGGTAGTCTCATTGAGCCACAAGAACTCATTTTCAAGAGAGACCTGTTTAGGGAGCAGATGGTGGGGGTTGGGGGACTTGCTCAGGGGTCCAGAGTGGGGCGAATGAGGGTGGAGGCAGGTCTAGGTGTTCCACCTTTTCCACCCACATTTTGAACCTGCGACTTTCTGATCACAAGCCCATCTTCTAACCTCTGCGCCACCACTCCCACTGTCAGCAAAACATTTCCTGAACCTGTAGACTGGTATTAGTGAGAAGTTCAGGAAGTAATCAGTGAAGAGTTTCTAAAAGTTCCAGTAAATTTAAAGACTGAAAAGATTCAAAATCCACAGGCAATATGAAAATATAGAGTTATACAATTTATTTTAAAGCAGCAAAGTTTATTGCCTCCAATTCAACTTCTGTTCAAATTGTGAAGTCCCATCCTGGCCTGAGAGGACTACTTGCATGTTTCTGTGCTTTGACACACCTGATTTTAATGACTTAACGAGTATCTGCTGAAGATCAGGGTGGTAGAAGTTTGATCAAAATAGACAATGCTGTCGTTTCTCGACCGAAGATGGTCTCGGTCCAAAACCACTGAAGTGTGAGTGTTTTATAAAGCTTTAAACTGAACCGTGATGCTGATGACAGGACCGCCCGCTCGTGTCGTACTCACATGTTGGAGGCCTGTTCAGAGCCTTTGCAACATCAACCATGTTGACAATGACCGTCTTGATTCCATTCCCTTTGCCTTCAACCTAAATGAAGAACAAACGTTTAATTCAGCGAGTCAGTTTCTCTCAGCTCGGACGTTTTAAACATCGCAGGAAGTGCGAGCGGCGCACGCCGTTACCTTGGCGATCAGACGGGGCATCTTGTAGCGGTAGAACTGGTCTGACACGCTGCGGTTGACGTTGACAGACATTTTGGCTGGATATTGGAACTATCAGCAAGATAAGAGGATCTTGGTTGGGGATTTTTCGGGATCTTCTGTCTGGAAAAGAGGGGATGACATAAACGACTGCAAGCGTGCTCGGTCTCTGACATGAAAAACGTCGTGCCGCGGTGGCCGCAAGCTCCTTGCTTGAAGGCTAGATTTCTACCACACAGGTTCCAACGGCTGCGCAACAGCTCTGAAAGAAAGCAGGAGAGGAAGGAACATCAGTACTTCATCAATACAGCTAATGGACAACAAGTCTGTCAGTACTGACACGACTTTCAAAATGTGACTCATTCTTGAAGCAAAATGTTGCGTTGTTCAGCTTTATAACTAATCTTAATAACACTGAAGCTAACACTGAAGCTAACATTTAGTTTTAGGTTTAACATTCAGGTGGAATGAAAAATTTAATAGATTTTTTTTTACATTTGCCGTACAAAAAAAAAAAAAAAGGTTAAACTACAAAAACCACAAGGAAAAAGAACTTAATGTGACTAGTACAACTTAAACCCAGACGTTTGAGGCCAAAATGCAACACGACAGCTCCGACTGCAATATTTACACAGCAGCTGGGGAACGTTTCAGCAGATTATTGTTTAACTTTTTTACCCAAAGTTCATTCACACTTGATAGGGGAATTTTAATTTGTGGCAAAAGTTGTAAAAGAGCACAGAAGAAGCGTTCACCACTGAAGACAAAAGTTTTTAGAATTTAGAAGGTTTTTTTGGTAAATGTTTTTCACCTAAAAGCAGATAATTTAGCAATTTCAAACTTCAGCATCAGAATAAAAAGGATGGACTGATCAGTTCAGATCACTGAACTCAGAGCAGTCAATGGAGCCGATTAGAAAGGCCTTCATCGTCTTTACATTTCTTAGACATATCAACTGAAGTAGTTGTTTGTCTCCACTTGTCTGGGCTACCTCCGTCAGACGAGGTTTGGTCAGATAAAGCCGAGTCTGTGAGACGAAACAAGTTAGAAGATATGTTCTAAGGCTGAAGAGGTTTAAAAAAAAAAGTAATTTTTTTGGGGCAATCTTTAAGTAAAACACTAAGTCTCTTATTCCCTTTATGTTTATTCAAGCTGTAAAAAAACAAAAGTGAAAATCTAGATTTGGAATCTTCATTATGATTTGGAAGAAAATTATTAACTGAATAATCTATAAAATAGTTACAGCGGTGGCCGTAAATGGGTTTAGCATTGAAGCATTTGTACCAGATTTAAAAAGCTTAAACCAAAATCAGAAAAATAAAACCTGGTCACTTGTAGGGCGGCTCGGCCTCTGACCCCTCTGTGAGTCCACATTCACACAAACTGGCTCTGTGTGCGACTCTTTTGTCTTGATGCGAGGCCTCTGGCTTATTCTTTTTAAACAGGAGGCCCCGCAGCAGGCAAACGACTCCAGTTCTGATAACTCCAGTGCAAAACACCCGTTCTGAGGTGGTTAGTGTGGCCAGTGAGTTTTAAAAGCAATACAATTAATCGGTTTGTCTCAAGAGGTGCGTGGAGCTGTTTCCAAGAGGAGGCTGTTTGGTGCAGAGTGCGTCATTCAGCCACTGAACTCCAGAGAGGACAACAGCCTTCCTGGCTGCTCAGTATCTCACACCCCGTGTTCCTCCTGACGCTGAGCCTCTGACAAACTGCCACACAGCAGCTTTTCCATCTGCAACTCACCGTTTTCACAAAACAAAGACATAAACACAACGCTGATCGTCCAGTTGCCGCAGTGAACGGTGATCGATATCTGGAGGTATATCGATTACAGCGAGGTCTGTAAAACAAAAAAGAAAAAAAAAAAAGGGGTTCTCAGACACGGACAGGTCCAAAACACAGCAGGTGTGTCAGGAGACAGGAGAGCTTTCTGGAAAAGTCCTCTCGAGGTTTGTGAACCTTTGGGACACACACACAAAAAAAAAATACAACCAGTAGTTAAAACAAGAACTGCGGACCTGAAGACACGAAATATAGAACGGTCCCACAAGCTCAAAAATGGTGCCGAATCAAGTCTGAAGCGTAAAAATTTAGAAATAAGCGACTCGCTGCTTAAGTACTAATAACCTAAAAATGACGTAGTCGTAATCTGCGTAGAGCTGCCCACAAACTAACATGGATTCTTATTAAGGTATTCAACAGCTACCTTTTAAGAATCTTAAAACTTTAAAAGAAAAAACAACAACCCAAAGACCGGATCCAAATGAAAACTTACAGGTAGATTCAAATTACAAAGTCTCAAGATCTAATCCGAGGCCAAACGTGACGCCATGCTTCTGAAGCTAACACCGTTAGCCACACGCATTCGACGCATTCAGCAAAAGTAGTTCCATTAATAAATATTTAGCTAGCATCGGCTTTTCTACGGAAATACATTTTTCCCGTGAAACCCAATCCAGAATGTGCCGTAGCCAAAAGAAATGTGAAATTATTTATCACCTACCCCTCGAATGTTCTGCGCAACGCAGCTACTCTCGTCGTTTGACAAGCGTTAAACAAGCAGTTATAGCAAACCGAGCGACATCCGGTAACAGCTGCGGTTCAAAGTAAAAGCTCGCCTCGATCACCGATTCGCTTCTACGTGTGGAGAAGAAATTATACTTAAAACACTAAATCTATGTAGCACTTTATATTAATTAAATTAATTTTATAATATTATTTAACTTGAAAAAAAACTGATTTATAAATTATTTTCCCATTTAAGAAACGAAAAAAATTGCCAGTTTTTATTTTGAAAATAACTAAAAGGAAGCGGTGTTTCATTAAGGCCGAAGCTCTGACGTCGTACGTGCGCAGGCGCTTCCTCATCCTGGGCGTCCGCAAACAGCAGCAGAGAAGATGGTGAGTATGAAATGGCGAAAGACCCACCATTTCCCCTCACGAACAGCGTTTTGTTTCTTTTTTTCGTCGTTGGATGTTTTATTTAAAATAACGGTCTAAATAAAATGGCGGCTTCTTGCCTACAGGGCAAAAACAGCTTTAATCAAATCGGAACCGTGCTCGATTCTGACATGGATCAACCGTCACATGACAGCCCACAAAGCATTTAGTCCTAAAATAATCCATTTTTACTTTTATTTAATATTCTTTGTTTGCTATGTTTGTTTTTGAGCACTTGTTGTTGTTTTGATTCTTAAACGCGAGTTGTTAATGTTTTTAGTAGAGCAGTTAGCTAAAAAGGCCTAAACTACAGGAAACTATCATTAGAGGCTTTTAACTTCCGGTTACTTTATTGTTACAGTTTCCTAAGACAAATCAGCTAATTGGCAAATAAATTTGGTATTAAAGTACATTTATCACAGCTCATTTATTTATTCATTTATTTTTTGCACAACTTTTAGAGAGTTTGTTGAGTTCTGCAGAAAAGACACAAAGAGTGCAGTTTTTTCTGCATAATCTAATAATTTTAACTGAACTCCACTGAGTGTTTGATCATTCGTCTTATCATCACTAACCTGCCAGTAACAAGTGTCTCAGCCACATATTCATTAAAGTTTTGTTTGTTTTTAAGTGTTTAATTAATCTGTCCACCTAATCCTTTCACCTTTAATTTGTCCCAACTCTTTCTTCTTTGTTGTTGTTTTTTTGTTGTTGTATTTTTCATCCCAAATCTTTGATCATGTCCCGTCTCCCGTGTTCTTCACGTACACATGCCCCCCCCCCTTTCCTCCCATCTCACCCACCCGGTTTCGCCTCCCCCCTTCTGTATCTGTCTTCAACCAACCAGGCCGGTCATCGGGTAAGTGTTCCCGTTCTGTGCCAGATGATCCTTTCGCCTTCCGCTCTAACCCAGGATCGGGTTTGTGTATGACATCGCATTTAGCTGCTGCTGCTTCAGCTACTGCTCTGCCGTTTTCTAACGCAACCAGACAACTCCTCTTTGCACTCATTAAGAAACCTTTACAGTTAGATTCCAAATTAAACATTAGAAAGCCTAAAAGTTTCACCGTCATGGTAAAATCAAGTATTGAGGTTTTCTGTATCAGGACATAAAACATTATCTTTTGTGATGTATCAGCCAGGAGCTACTGATCCTCATCAGTGGGATCAGCTCTGATCTGGATCAGACGGGTGTTAACACTATGCCAAGGTGGAAAGACATCAGCAGTGACCTCGTTGAAGCATCTGTTGCTGCCCGTCAATCTGGAAAGGGTCAAACATCATTTGAAGTTAATTGTTCTACAGAGAGAACGATTATTCATGAGTATAAAGCATTTAATATGGCTGACGGTCTTCACAGCAGATTCACCCTGAAGGTTAGACCATGCAATGCTGAGAGAAATGAGCTCTCAGACTCTACAGGTCTCAGTTGGCAGGTAAAAGAACGTGATCTCTAAAAACAACATGGCAGCTCGACTTTGGTTTGGAAAGTTTCATCTGAAGAAACCACAAGTCCTCTGGGATCGAACCAGACCAGAAGACAGATGTTACCCAGAATGCACTGCAGCAAACTGCTCCTCCCAGCTGTCAGCACGGTGGTGGAGGTCTGATGGTTTGGGCTCCTGTCAGTCACAGGATAACTTTCACCATGCAGCCCATCCTCCATTTTATGTTAAATTAAGTTGAATCTGAATAACTAGTTTTAACTGAATTTTTCTTGTCAAAAAAAAAAAAAAATAGTTTGGATTTATTTATTTATTCATTCCAGTTTCTGAAACTTTTTGGACTAAAATAACTTAAGCTTTAGACGAATTTAAAACTAATTAAAGTTTCTACCAGAACAAAACACCCATCCGTCTTTTTTATCTGCTTTTCCAAACACAGAATTTCTGCTCAACAAGTTAAATCCTCGACTTTTATATTTTTACACAACAAATTCTCCCCTTTCTCCTTCACTAAGTTCTAGTTTCATGAAAGTAATAATTATTTTATATATTTTGCATAAATGTTGTTTAGATGTGTAGAATAGACATCATGTTCACTGAAGTCTTATGTTCTGATACCTAAAATCTTATCATTTGTTCATTTACTGCAGTTTTTACCATGAATTAATATTTTCTGAACTCTGCCTTGAAATAACGAGTCAGGTTAACATTAAGGTTTTTTTTTTTTTTTTTTTTTTTTTTACATTATATTTTGCAAGTGAAATAATTGTTTTAGTCTTCTTTGGTGATACTTCAAGCATAGTCTTGTAAAAGTTCAAGTTTTAAACACACTGTGTCTAAAAACGTTTGTCGTGTTTAAACCTTTGCCTGGTTCTGTGTGGGTTCAGATGCAGCAGCTGGAACTCGTATTTATGCTTAAATTCAACCTGTAAAGAAACTTTGTTCCTCATTAGACACAGAAAATACTAAAAAGAAATTCTGGTGTCATCTGTTTGTCAACTGGTGGAGTTCTGATGTGAAACAAGGGTTCCAGTTTTGTCTAAAAAGTGTTTTGTTGTTGTTGTTGATTACTTGTGTTGTGTGATGACAGTGGTTTCTCTTCTGTCGCTGAATGTCTGAAATCCAGCTGTGCAGATTTAGTTCTTTGTAAACTTTGGTCTATTTCATATTCTTTTATAAAAATGAACTTTTAAAAGCCAGTTTGAATTCAGACACTAATTTCTCTTCTGCTGGTTTGTTACTCTGAGCGTTTTTAACGAAGTCACTTTACCCCCTGAGCCAAAGAATCAGAGCTGGTTGGTGTTTCAGTGTGTGGTTTGGAAGTAATTAACCCAAACGAAGGTGCACGTTTGGTTCTGGTGGAGTCGAAGTTTAGTTCTGCTGCAGGATGGACCGCCTTGTGGGTGACTAACCTGTTTGTGTCGCCGTCAGTTGGTCCTGGTGTTGGGCGACCTGCACATCCCCCATCGGTGCAACACGCTGCCGGCTAAGTTCAAGAAGCTGCTGGTCCCGGGGAAGATCCAGCACATCCTCTGCACGGGGAACCTCTGCACCAAGGAGAGCTACGACTACCTGAAGACCCTCGCCGGGGACGTCCACATAGTTCGCGGAGACTTTGACGAGGTCTGTGGAAAAGCTAAATCCACTCTGACTGGTATCTAGGTGCTCACATGTTTTGGTCTGTCAGGCGGATAATTATTCAATGACCTGCGTTCTGTAGAAGCCTCATTAAACGCCCAGCGCCTTTCACGCCAGAGTTGTAGATCATCTCGTTTTGGTCAACCTTAAACAAACATTAGGCAGGATCTCCTGCAGTCAGTGCTTTGTTGGGGAGGACTCTCAGCTACTACCACACCAAGTTTCAGCTCCGTATCTGTAAATTTTACAGAGTTGTGGCTGTTTTTGTGCTGGTAAAAGGCTGATTAGCTGCGGCAGCCGACTTGAATCATGTGGATTCCAAAAGTGAATCATTTACAGAGTTTCATTAAAATCCATCCAACAGTTCTTGGGATATTTTGCTGACAGACAAAGGAACACCCATAGGTAAAAACCTTATCACCCGTCCTTCAGCTTGTTGGCAGCAGATGATAAATATAACAGATGGTGCATGAATCCTCAGGAAGCTACTTTAACCTGCTGTTGTAGCTATTTTGGTTGGTTGTCATGAATTGAACAATAAATAATCAGTAAACTGATTAAATAAGTAGTCTAATCAGTTTATAGCATACTAATCAACATTTAGCTCCCAGTAGCTGCACAAGTGTCAACTATAACGATTGTTGTGGTTGAACTCAATATCTCTTTGAAATCCCTTTAATCAATCGGCACCTTTATTCCTTAAACACAAACAAAAATGCAAATTGATCTTTTTGTTTTATTTTACATTTACACTGTGTGAAATGCAGCGCTGAACTGTAAAAAAAAAAAATAATTTGTCATAACTTTGATTCCAAGAAGGAGGCGGGGCATGTAGAAGAAGCAGGAAGTGGCGTCACTCTGCTCCGTTCAGTCACCAGAGCTAACCTTAATGTTTGCTGCAGGGCAGAAATGTTTAGTATTATTATTATTATTATTATCCCCAATGAAAACAGCAACCTCGCTGTGCTCGTTGCTTCTTCCTCCTCAGAACCTGAACTACCCGGAGCAGAAGGTGGTCACTGTGGGCCAGTTCAAGATCGGCCTGATCCACGGCCACCAGGTGATCCCGTGGGGCGACATGGCCAGCCTGGCGCTGCTGCAGAGACAGCTCAACGTAGATATCCTCATCTCCGGGCACACGCACAAGTTCGAGGCCTTCGAGAACGAAAACAAGTTCTACATCAACCCCGGTTCTGCCACCGGAGCCTACAATCCCCTGGAAAGGTGAACTTTTAAAGTTTTCAACGAGTACAAATATATTTTTCTTTAACAGCTGAGCTCAGGTGATTTAATACGAGTGAACAGAAAACCAACAAAACAAATTATGACAATAAACGCTGCTCGTGGAGTTAGAAATGTCCAGAAATGTTAGCAAATTTATTTTTATCTAAGCGGCTTTGGATTAAAGCCGTGTTTTGGGTTGATTAAATATTTCTTGTCCTCCTGTCTCCTTCCAGAAACATCATCCCCTCATTTGTATTAATGGACATCCAGGCGTCCACCGTGGTGACGTACGTCTATCAGCTGATCGGGGACGACGTCAAGGTGGAGAGAATCGAGTACAAGAAGTCCTGAAAGGTGTGAGGAGGAAGAGTTGAGGCTAGTGTCTTCATTCCTGTCCACCAGGGGGCAGCACCTCCCTGAGTCACACTAAAACTGACCTGCAACTCACCTCTGAAACACCTGTGTATTATATTGTTTATACAGTAGCTGCTTATAGCGTTAGAAAATTCAATATCAAATGTTTTGCTACTAAAACAAATATTTGGTGCCATTTTCTTTTCTTCCTCATGTCGTGTGCATGTGAACAACCGGCCTTTAGTCTCCTGTAGTCGTTCTTTTACTTCCACAATAAAACTTTATTTCAGTCCATGTGCTGCTTTGGTTTGTAACAAAAATGTTAATCTTGGTTTTCTTGCAGATAATATGTAGATTATTTTGGAGGGTTCTGAACCTGAGGTCCAACAGGATGGAGACTTAATTAACAGAATGTTAACTCCGTTTGTCCTCGTCCTGAAGGTTCATCTTCACTTCCAGTTAAAAACCTTGATACTTAAAAATAAATACTTAATTTCAGTTTAGCTTCAACTCCATCAACTCTTAAGTTTTTTTTTTTTTATAAAGCCCAAAGAATAATTTTCCTTTAATTCTAGAAAATTTTTTAAACTGTGCCTGTTAGAATATTAAACGAATATTTGTTATAAGTTTAAAGTCATATTCTGTGTAAAAGTTAAAAATATCTTACCTGCTGCAGATATCTCTTCTGTGTGGATGAATACCTTTATTCTGACAGAACCGATGAGCTAAAGGCTAGTCTGAACACAGATGAGACCAACCTGAACCTCTGCCATCTAAAAACGGCTTCACTGGATTTTTGTAGCAGTTTATGCTAACGCTAATCCAACATTGGTGCCACCAATGTAGAGCTGTCATTTCTAACCCGCACCCGACCTGAAAAAAAAAGTGCTGGATGGGTGAGCCAAGTCGTTGTCGGACTTTTGACTGCGTCTGCAGACGCGTACAGCTGACAATCCAATTTGGATCACCGGCCGCGCGCGGTCATTTGACTGCGTGCTGACTGGCCGGTTGAAAGAATCTGGAAAAAAAGTCCAGCTGGCTCACTGCCAGCGACCCACCTGAAGCTTAACTGGACTCAGCCACTGCGTCAGCGGACGTGCACGGCCGACGACCCAATTTGGATCATTAGACGCACGCGTCCGTCAACAGTTAATAACTAAATAACTATAATAGCTATAATAATCCGCTGACTCTTGCTAATACAGTCCCTCGCTACTTAGTGGTTCGTTTGTTGCAGACTCGCTCTATCGCGGTTTTTGAAAATAAGCTTGGACATGACACACAATTGATGGATGAGCCGCACGATCGGCATGGAATTTTTATTTAAAATAAATCATTTTAAATTATTTAGCACCTGCTGCACATTTGTGCAGTCCAGAGCTGCAGAAAAAGCTTTCTCCTGCAGCTGATCAGCTGTTCACCGTGCAGAGCAGAGAAGTGGGCGTGGCCACGAGCGCTTGCAACTAAATGATCACTTCAACTTAAAAAGCAGCAGGACGTTTCTGCCAGTAAAAGTGACAAATGTCTTCACTTCCTCCATGACCTGCCTGCAGAAAACAGATTTTATCAAATGTTATTTGACATCAGACACTAACGAGTTGAACTGATGAATAAATGAGACTGATTTTGACATAATTTCTGTTTAATTCCTTCCTTTTTTTAAGCAAACTGATAAAAATGGATTTAAATTCTGTCCTGATGAGACCAGCTCCCCTCAGGATCAGGATCAGGGACTTTTCATAGAACAATCGTTGGGATTTCCCACAATTAAAGAATATGTGAAAATGTGATTGAGTTTAAATCCTCGGTCTGATGGAACCAGCAGGAGCTTCAGGAGGATAAACAATGCTGTGATTCTATGGCAAGCCCTTTTAACATAAAATCAGATTCACCACGTTTACATTCCAGATATCTGAAACTGAGTTATGACTAGACATATTAGTTATTTGAGATATCTCTAATTACATTCTGACTAATAATGACGTCAGATTTCCCATCGAGTTGTATGGAGGCTTCAAGATATCCAACTGAATTTTGACTAGTCAAAAATACAGTTCTAGATATCTAAGTTAATTTAGACTAGTCATTATTTGCTTTCACGATCTCACTTTTAGTGCTAGTCATAATTACAATTAAAGATATCTTAAATTACATCATTATTCAAGATGTCTTAAATGTATTTGTAGATATCACAAATGAAGTTTTGACGAGTGCAAATTAAATTGTAGATATGTTGATCGCAAATAACGACTAGGCAAAACTAACAAAGATAACTGTACTTATGACTAGTCAAAATTCCTTTTAAGATATCTCAAAATGAATTCAAGATGTCTTGAATATTTTATCATGTAGACGGCTTTTCTATTTAAGATATCTTGAGTTGTTATTCTGAAAATACAGATATCTTAATAAAGCATGCTGATTAGTCAGAATGTAATTGTTCCTAGTCAAAATTCAATTTAAGATATCTAGAATGTAACTACAGATAGTCAGACTACTCGATTTTATGTTAAAAGGGCTTGCCACAGTGATCCAGCTCCCAGGGACAAGCTGGGACCAGTTCTGGACTGGGGGGGGGTGTTCCTATTGTTTTCATCTTTGACTGATAAAACGTCTGATTTCCAGGAAATCAGGTTCTCCAGAGGTGCTCGCCAAACATCACGCACGATTTTATGTCCTAAACTGTTGCAGATGTCTTCAATTTAAAGTCTGTGACAAAAACACAAATAAAATCAAGAAAATATGTTAAAAAATACAAAAATGTCTTCTTATAAAACATTATTACAAGTTAAAGCATTGTTGGTCTTTGTTGTGATATTATAGGAATTATTTTTGTTTCTCTTTTTATTTAATTTCACTTTTCCATTTCCACAATCACAAACATTTACACAGAACCAAACGAGGGAATCCCCGACTCCTTCTAGATAAAAAAAAAAAACAGAACAAAGGGACCTTTTTTAATTAAACTCATTCATCTATAAAACATAATCCCTCACTTTTACGTGTTTCAAGGCGCTTTGTTTACACAGAAATCAAAATGAAGACTAAAACTGGATCAGTTTCATTTTGCTACGAAGGTGATCATATCTGATTCTTCACATCGACACGCTGTGAACCTTAATCTGTAATCTATAAACTCCCGGTGAGGACAGATGAAAGTTTGGTTTGCAGAAGCAGCAGAGGACGGGTGAACTGCTCTTTATCTGTTCATAAACGAGAAACTGAAGCTGATTATTTCACTTTGATTTGACTGGTCTGGAGTTGTTTTTTTACACAGATTAACAATTAATACATGTTTGTGTGTTTTATACATGAAGTACTTTTCATGTAAACAGGTTGAACTGTGTTTTTATGTTCTGATACAGTAAACACAAGTAAACCAAAATAAAAAAAATAAACTTTTGGTGAACTGAATCTTATCTCACAGAAGTAAAAATTAATAAACTCAACAAAAATGGTTTAAAAATATTTAACTGATCATGTGTTTTTTTCTGAAGTTATATAAAAACATGTTTTATAGTTAGACATTAATCATTAGGTAGAATTACATAATACAGCCCAGTACAATCCTCGTACTTACCAAATAGCTTGCGAGTACCTGTAACATACCCAGTACTGGTACTTACCTGGTAGTACATAACCAGTTATGTACTACTAGGTAAGTACTCATTGTGGGCCAGTTACATACCTGATAAGTACCCAGAATGTACTTGTTTTTTTCTTGGTACCCAGAATGTACCAAGAAAAAAATTGTTAAGTACTCAGTATATTACAGGCTTAGTTACAAGTACATAGCAGGTGTGTACCCAAAAAGTACCTGGTACATAGCAGGTGTGTACCCAAAAAGTACCAGGTATGTAGCAGGTGTGTATCTAAAAAGTACCATGTAGATAGCAGGTGTGTACCCAAAAAGTACTAGGTACATAGCAGGTGTATATCTAAAAAGCACCATGTAGATCGCAGGTGTGTACCTAAGAAGTACCAGGTAGATAGCAGGTGTGTACCCCAAAAGTACTACGTACATAGCAGATGTGTACCCAAAAAGTACCAGATACATGTAGGTGTGTACCCCAAAAGTAACAGATACATAGCAGATCTCCTCCAGATTTTGAGCTGTTCTTCATCTCCGACTCCTGAGAAACCCGACAAAACGTCACTTCCAGCCTCCAGAACCAGGATCTACGTTCATCAGTCCAATGATCGGGTTTATCTGAACCTGAAATCAGATTATTTTAACAAAATAAAAGCTTAGAATTAACCTTTAGGTGCTCATTTTACCATCTGTTTGTTTACACAAAGCCGGATGATAAAAACACCAAAGATGGAGCTTCAGACCCTCCACACCTGATTTTAACACAAATATAAAAAAATTAAAAAAGGATTCGAGCAGACGACGACGTTCAACCACTTTATTGCACGATTCAACCGAAGTGAGATCCTGCTCAAGTGTTCTCAGCTCTGCAGAAACGAGGGGGAGAAAACAAAAAGCGTGAAGAAATTTTGTGATATTTACAAATAGATGCATTACTATGATCACTTATACATTATGTACACATTAGTCTCTGCTAGGACAGTAGTTAGAATAAAACCTTCAGCTCTACAGGAGTTACAGTGCTCACAAACTACATTCATCAACACAAAGTTAGCACGAAGAACGTTACAGAGGAACACACGTTCTGCTCACAGGGTCAAAAAAACAAAACGTGTATTTGTACACAACTCTGGGCTAAGGAGAATATTTGGATTTATTCTGAACGACCTCGTGACGTAGTGTCGATCCTTCCTGCTGCACAGAAACTCTTCTTTCTCAATGCTTTTATTAAAAAAATAAAACTGAACGCGTTTACAGACGGAGGCGATCAAACAAAATAAATAAAAAGTCTGGAGCATCATCTGTTGTTGCACGATGACGCTATGATTAAAAAATGTCCACTTTTGTCTCTAAATGTTACTCAGTTTCTCTGCAGAGCCAAAAATAAATCCCTCTCTGAAAATATACGCCACGAAGCAGTTTTGTTTCCTTCCAGCCACGAAGAATCTAAAAAAAAAAAAAAATCAATAACGTATAAAACTCGTGGTTTTAATTTGTTTTAAGTTTGTTCACTCATCGTATGAAGCTGGAAAAAAAAAGAGGCTAAATTTCTAAACATGCTGCTGGTCAGGAGTCTCCAGAACGTCTCGAAACATTCTCAATTTCTCTGCAGTCGCAAAGCTGAGCTTAAATGATCAAAAACATCACAAAACTAAATCTCATCTCAATTTTGTTGTAGACATCTCAAACTTGACTCAGTGTTGTTGTGGGTGTTCCAAATGCTTCTCAGTTTTGTTGCCAGTGTCTCAAATTTGTCTAAATTTTGTTGCAAGCTTTTCAAATGTGTCTGTTTTGCTGCAGGTGTCTCAAATCAGTTTTGTTGTGGATGTCCCAAACTTGTCTCAGTTTTGTTACAGGCGTCTCAAATTTATCAGTTTTGTTGCGGGCGTCTCAAACCCGTCTCAGTTTTGTTGCGGGCGTCTCAAACCTGTCTCAGTTTTGTTGGGGGCGTCTCAAACCTGTCTCAGTTTTGTTGGGGGCGTCTCAAACCTGTCTCAGTTTTGTTGTGGGCGCCTCAAATTTATCAGTTTTGTTGCGGGCGTCTCAAATGTATCAGTTTTGTTGCGGGTGTCTCAAACTCGTTTTAGTTTTGTTGTGGGCATCTCAAACCTGTCTCAGTTTTGTTGCGGGCATCTCAAATTTA